TATAGCATTCATTTTAAGCCTCCTCTCCCAGTTGCTCATTAGGGTCTCAATTCTTTTTGGGATGAAATCTGCCATACATGGTTTCATCCCAAAGGCAAATGTTTGAGCAAACCTGCTTGATGATCCCAATGTGCAATTTGGCAAGAGTCTTTGGTTCTTTTTCTCTCTCAGCACATTGGCCAATCACCAGTCAAAGGAAAAACAGGCATGTCTGTGATACTCTAGGAATGGCAAATCCTGCATCTGTGCAGAAGGTTGGACAAGATAACCCTTGAAGTCTCTTTTGTGATTCAGTAAAGATGCTTCAGAATCTGCAGCATCCCAGAGATATCATTTTTCCATACGGAAACATTAATTAGATGTTTCTACTATAAATGTATGAGGTACATGTGGGATAAAGCATAAGTACCTGATTCACGCCAACTAAAAACATTGGAAAGATTCCCTTTGAACTTCTTGAGCTTTGGATCAAGTCCTGACAAAGTCATGGCCCATGCAATCAAGCAAAGCAGTAATTAAGGAAAACCACATTTCTTTTTTGATTATTAATCTAAACAACTGAGCAGAACACACAACATTGTTTGATTTATTCACTATTACAGTTCAAAACCAACAAATGTAGGTTTTTTAGTATGACAAATGTGTGAGTTATTCTGACTGCTAAATAAAATATCAATTTTCTGCTCAGTGAATCATGACACATTGTCAAAGGTACTAGGCTTGATCACACTGTGGCTGCAGTGCAAGTATTTTATTTGATCACAAAACACCACCCGCGGTGTGACTGTAAAAAGGAGTACTGTCACAAAAATTATGGTTGTCCCACTGAACCTAATCTTGACACTACAGAACATATTTATACTCCTACCTCTGCTGTTCTGAAGCCATGTTGTTTCTGTGTCATAGTTCCAGTAGCATGAAGTGTAGGTTTTGAACACTGAGTACCACAGCTAGCTTTTTTCTCGGTGTTTAGCATTCCACATGCACTCGAGGACATGGTTACACAGGTCTGAGTTGATTTTCCATCCTCCAGAATGCCTAATAAAAGCATATGAAATTCTGTATTGAACATTACAAAAGCAGTTTATTGTTTATTCCCATTTTATAGCTATTTTGTAACTTTTCATGCAAAGAAAAGTGTCCACTTGATATCTAGCTTATATAACCCATGGCTTTAAATGTGATTCCAGGTACTAAAAATGTCTCTGAGCCTTCTTGCCTGTTTTTGTGATTTTCCTTTGTTTGTCAAACATATCTCTTGCCCTTATTGCTCTGTGAAAGATCCACCTGAACAAAATGGGAAATAGGCCTGGTTCCTGGGAGCAGCTGTATCTAAGACCTTGTTCCCTGCAGAGCCCTGTTGAAATCCTGGACACAAAGGTTTGCTCTCACAGAGCAGCGCACGAGATTAAGAGCATTACTGAGTGCATGGAGGCAGTGAACCTGACAGAGACCATGATCACATTCGCAGTGGCAGACGCAAAAAGAAAGTCCCCATTTTATTCCCTCCTAGTTGTGGAATTTTAAGGGTTACTTATAAAAATTCTAAATACGAAATATTCAGACATAAGTATGAGTTTTATAGTTTCATAGTTTCTAGGGTCAGAAGGGACCTGAGCAGATCATCTAATCCGACCCCCTGCCATGGCAGGAAGAGCACTGGGGTCAAATGACCCCAGTAAGGTGGTCATCCAACCTCCTCTTAAAAACCCCCAGGGTGGGAGCCTGCACCACCTCACTTGGAAGCTGGTTCCAGACTCTAGCCGCCCTGACCGTGAAGTAGCGCCTCCTGATGTCCAACTTAAACCTTCCCTCCGCCAGCTTGTGACCATTGTTCCTGGTCACTCCTTGCGGCGCTCGGGGGAACAGGGACTCCCCCAGCGCCTGCTGATCCCCCCTAACCAGTTTATAACAGGCCACAAGATCCCCCCTCAGCCTTCTCTTTTGAAGGCTGAACAGGTTCAGGTCCCGCAACCTTTCCTCATAGGACCTACCCTGCTGTCCCTTGATCATACGAGTGGCCCTCCTCTGGACCCTCTCGATGCTGTCCACATCCCTCTTAAAGTGCGGCGCCCAGAACTGGACGCAGTACTCCAGCTGCGGCCTGACCAGTGCCGCATAGAGGGGGAGGATCACCTCCTTGGACCTGCTCGAGATGCATCTGTGGATGCACGACAAGGTGCAGTTGGCCTTCCTAGCCGCCTCCCCACATTGCCGACTCATGTTCATCTTGGAGTCAATAATGACTCCCAGATCCTTTTCCACCTCCGTGCTGACAAGAGGGGAGTTCCCCAGCCTGTATGTGTGGTGCCGATTGTTCCTCCCCAGGTGCATCACCTTACACTTGTCTGTGTTAAACCCCATCCTGTTCTCCTCCGCCCATCCTTGTAACCTATCTAGGTCCAACTGTAGCCTGTTGCTCCCCTCTATTGTGCCCACATCCCCCCACATCTTAGTGTCATCAGCAAACTTGAACAGGGTGCTTTGCACCCCCTCATCCAAATCACTGATGAAGATGTTGAACAGGGCGGGCCCAAGGACCGAGCCCTGTGGGACCCCACTTCCCACGTCCTTCCAGGTCGAGAAGGACCCATCCACTACCACCCTCTGGGTGCGACTCTCTAACCAGTTGGCGACCCATTGGACTGTATGGGTGTCTATGCCACAGTCCCCCAGCTTCCTAATGAGAATGGGGTGAGAGACAGTATCAAAAGCCTTCCTGAAGTCTAGGAAAACTATATCCACTGCCACCCCTGCATCCAATGATTTAGTGACCTGGTCGTAAAAGGCCAGGTTATGTAGGTTTTCGCTTTATTTTTACAATAACTTGTGCAATAAAATCAGAGAACAAGGGGATATATTTTTTTGCCCATCAGTAATCAAATTACTCATATTTTTCCATCTGTAGTTGTAGAGTGCTGGTGAGCCTAAACAATTTCCTCATCTTGACCTACTAAGAAAAATAAGTTGTCACTAAACCTAACTAAATTTTAGCTGCAATACTAGGTCTTCATAGAATCATAGAAGTAGGGTCAGAAGGGACTTTGTAGATCTTCAAGTCCGACCCCCTGCCTGGGCAGGAGAAAAAACTGGGCTCAAATGATCCCAGCTAGGTAGGCACCAAGCCTCCTCTTAAAGACCCCCAGGGTAGGAGCCAGCACCACTTCCCTTGGAAGTTGGTTCCAG